GGGTCAAGCATGCTTTGTCTTACAGGTAAGATCTGCTACAATGATTGATTGCTTCGAACTGTTGAATATAACAAAACGAGATAACGGTTAGATCTAAATCCAGAAAGCAGACGAGAGAGACGGGAACAGTAAATAACGAACATTATACTACTCTGAGGTATCGAACAAGCGTCCCCACCGCTCCTTATTCCATAGCCCCTGTTTATTATTTTCCCGCTTGCCATGACCGACGATCATGTGAAACATGATATCTTGAATCTACATATCTGAATGAAACTTCTTCTTTTTTGTAAATGACAAATTACCCTCAGTATTAGTATTAAGGTTGGGTACCTTAATTTTCTGGGCATTTTTTAAACTTTTGCGCCTTGGTTTGTTCCTAAATGGGGAAAGTTGTCACAGTAATTTACTTTAAAAAAGGGACTCTCGTGGCCTAGAGGTTAAAGTGTTCGCCTCCCATTCAAAGGTCCCGAGTTCGAATCCGGGTAGCGACGGTAAAATTTTCTTCTCTAAAATTGTCTCCTTTCACCTCCTTTCCTGCTCTCTAGCAATATTCTGTCGTCTGCTTTCGTCTCCCCTTTCTGCCCCACCCCCTCTCCTCCTTTGCCCCCTCCTCTGGGCTCTGACTGTTTCTGCATCCTTTCCACTTCTTTTCCTTGGCTCCTTCTTACTGCAGTCTTTCAACCACATCCCTGATCTTCTGGTAGGAAACATCTACATCTAGCCTTCTCGGACAAGGGCGAAAAATCTCGGAGGTCCCGTGTGCAAGTTGCGCACATTAAAGATCCGTTGGTGGTCCAAAATCGATAAGAGTAAGCTTCGGCCGCCACCCGGGAAAAAATTCAAAGTTTCCTACCAACTGAAAATTTTAGGTGTGTCACGCACGCTCATATGACCTTATACAGTTGCGAGCGCTGTGAAACACTTATGGAAAGAAAAAGAAATTACTTAAATCACTAAAATTTCATGATCTCTTGTTTTTTTTTTATTTACTTGAGGTGAAATAAAACAGATTTGTTCCTACTAGCACATTTATGAATTTTGGACCACTTGTCCTCCCCCCCCTCCACCCCCCCCCCCCCCCCCCCCGCCACCCCTTTTATTCCTACCCCCCTTTCATTCCTACCCCTCTTTAATTCGATACCTTAGAGTAAGAGACAGACATTTGAACTTTCAGTGCTGCATTTGAACTGGCAATCTTGATATTTGATCGGGAAAAAGGTGTCGATCTAAAAAGCAGACCTCGAATATATTGAAGACGAAAGATGCAAACAGTTAACAACGAAAGTTGCTTTGAGACAGGGTAGTTTCCCCTGCCTTTCAACATCATAGCTTCGTAGTTTTTCTATTTTTGAATTTGAACTTTCCTATGCTGCATTTGAAATGACAATGACAAATTTGATTTCCCTAGTGTTTTCATTTGAACTCACTAGTGATGACATTTGAGCTGGTATTTGCCTACGTTTTTCATTGTGTTGAATTTGAACTTTCTATGTTGAATTGATTTGACAATTTTTATATTTGAACTTTCATTGCTGCATTTGAACTCTCTATTTTGATATTTGATCGGGAAAAGGTATTAAATGTTTTGTTATTTTTGCAAAAAGTATTTCAATGATTTCTGATTGCACAGGCTTAAAAGGTCATAGGAAATACAGGATGATCAACAACAAAATATTCACAACTTTTTTCTGAATATATCTCAAATGAGAATTGTGATAGAATGTTGTAATTTATAACCTACCTTATTTTTATTAAAAAGGAATTAGTTTAACATGAAATTCATAAAGAAGAAACATATTTTTGAAAATGGAAATGGCTTAAAGGAAAAGCATCCATAAACTCAAAATCCACTCATTTTTAAAAAATCCTGTAAGGAAAGTCATGAAATTGAAATGATTGGTTTGAATTTTAACATTTATTTTTTCCAGCTCTGTAACTTTTAGATAAATGTGTCTTGCAGAGATAAGAAATCTAACATTTTTAATTTGGAATTCCTAGAATCAGTTCTCTACATGTCCTTCTTTGAACTCAAAACATTTTTAATGTGTCGTTCGTAATATTCAATAGTGGCCAAACACAAGGACCCACCAAACCGTAAGTGCTCAAAACCACACACACTGTACACCTTTCAATATGGAATGGTTTCTAGAGACATTGAGGGTGTGTGTGGTGGGGGGGGAGGGGATGTTCTAATCGACAGCATTTGTTGAGTTTACATCCGAAAAGGTGAAAATGGACTTTGCCATTGAACCAAATGTCAGTGAGGAAATATTCAAGCTTTTCAAGAGATTTAAGGAGCCATGAACACATTGCCATTCTCTGATCCATGTTAGTCTTGTGAACAGGAATATGGATCTGTCGTAGGTGAAGATCTGCCTTGAGAATGCAGATGGTTGAGGTGTAGGAAAGTTCTAGCTGAAAACATCCTCTGCACAGACATGTAATGGGACTCAGCTACTGAATTCTGCACCCTGATATCGTTTTAAGGGGTGTGAATTTTGCATGTTCAACTAAAAACGTTCATTTTGTGTAGGAATTTTTAGTTTTGATTCTCTGTCAATCCTTACTGATGGAAATCTTTACCCGTTGCATCAAATAAAACCTCCAGAGCACGTAGCATTCTTTCCATACCTTGTTGGACACTTACGAAATGTCAGTTGATTTCGAGGTAATTTTAAAACAAAAGGCTCTCTGCTCTTTGCTAAATTTAATCGTCATTCAATGATCTCAGCAGGCAAAGGAAACTTCTAAAAAGCAATATGTGCAAACTTCTGGTAGCTTGTTGATTAGACTGCTGTAGTTTGCAATATGGTGCGATAATTGTGACTTTCAGTGGTAGGTCTAATTTGAACTGGTTCGTCATGCTACAAAATGAAGATAAGGCTGAAAATATTTTTTATGTGCTTTATAGAGACAAACTATTGTGTGAAAGAACTTCCTGCGAAGGGTTAAGAAAGGGCTGCCTCGGAGTGAATGGATGAACCCAATACAACGCTCATCACTTAGAGCCATCACGTGGATATTCTGTCCTGGGCACCCTGGAGTGAAGGGCAATGAGAAGGCTGATAGGCTGGCAGGCAGTGCCTTGGTTGATGGTGAGGTGAAATTTGACAAAGGAGAAGTGTTGAAGACCCTGGAGGAAAAGTTGCGGGATGAAGAAGACAGGGAGACAGCAGAACATTACGCAATTATTAGGATGCGGGAAATGGGGATAG